AGAACAGAACAGAACAGAACAGAACAGAAATAGATAAATGATAACATACTTACCTTTCAAGGCTATAGGATGCGGAAATTATTCATTTTGAGATGCAACTATTTGCATAATTACTGCAAAAAAACAGGTATAATCCGGTCCACAGTGATGTCACATTATGGCTGCCGCTCGTTGGGTATATTCTACACATATTCTACACATATATCTGATGTTCATGGAGATGTTATTCAGAAACAGAAACTTCTTATCGACTTGCCATGATTAAGGCTAGTAGAGCACTAACTAGCTTATTTCGAACTTCTCGTAATTCTGCTTAACTTTGTGTTGGACTGCGAGAGGCATGTTATTTATCGTTCCGAAAAGTATTCTTCGATGCTGACTGGAGACTTCCTATACTACTGTTAATGATTCTAATGATGTTTTTCTTTTCGTTTCTTTCGACGACAAGTATTTTMAGCTTACGGGTTAAAACCGTTTCMTTTTACAATAAAAAAATAATTCTAAAACAGAACAGTGCAATTCGACAACCTAGGTAGAACGTTGGCTACAACGTCGACCTTCAATTCGATTGCCTGTTTGTATATTTTGTATTTTCAATGACCTTTAATGAAGCTGGAAAAAAAAAGAGCAAAAAATAAGAGGTTTATTTGTGTTCAATCTTACCATACTCAATGTCTTTCCCAGCTGCATAAGGTCCTTCCTTGACCGTAGTCGCACTTATCTTGTATGATAGTATTCCATTCTTTGTAACATTGATACTGTAGGTAAGATCAGCTGATCCATTGATGGTGACTTTCTTGTTAATGGATGCATCCATGTTGTAGTAGTATAAAATTGTGTACTTCCTGATTATACCATTCAGATCACGTGGTCTATCCCACGTGATAACAACACGTGGTACAAAGGAATGTTGTAGAGCTATTAAGGTACCATTGACRTTCATTGGAGCAGAGGGGGCTTAAAACACACAAACGTAATTGGTATTAAGCCTTATAAACACTAGAGGGTTGTGGATATACAAGGAATGGCGGAGCATTTATTAAAGCGGGGTGGAGATGGGGGCTTAAATATATATTTTCTAAACGTATGGGACGAATTTTTGTTTTTCTTCATTAGGCAAACTAGGTAATGGTGGAAGAATAAAAGCGACTGCAACAAGTGGTCCAGCTGAATCTGGAGAGAGAATCAAAGTACCAGTGACATTTACTGGAGCAGAAGAAGCTAAAAAGAACTGATAAAAACATAGAATTTCWGAATACTGTCAGCAGGTTAGTAGACCGTATTTTACCATCCTCCTTTGTTTTTATATTTATTGTCTCGCTCCATGATCCATTTACACGTTGTGTTCTTGCTAACACCCTTACGTTGTATTCTGTATATGGCTTCAGACCCAATAAAGTGTATTGCCTTTTTATGCTGTTTACGCGAATATCTTTACTTCCATTTCTTATGACAAACCCAGTTATGGGGTCTTCTGGATTGCACTGTTCGATTGTCCAGCTTAGTTGGATGGACCTTTGTTGAGGGATTGCTGATACTACTGGTGCTTCTGGAGAGAAGATAAAATAAGAAAATTTAAATAGATCAAAGAAAATGTTTTCTTCGCTTCGAACTTGACTTAGACCGACGGGAATTAGTACGGGGGGAGAGAAACATTCTTTTTCAAAAACAAAAACACTATATCTCGAAATAACACATAAATAATTTTTTTTTATTTTTAATTAATAGTAGATTTAGTAGAAATGCTTAATTAGCCGTACTTTTGTTGTGCGGTCTTAAGGCATTTCTAATGGAAATATCTAAGCTTGTATACACTGCTGTCTCCCTTAGATTTCTTACTTGGTAGTTCTAATTCGTAAAATAATTGATACTGACTAAAAAAATCGTAGTTTGAATTGTTCTTGTTTAGTTAGTATAAGTTAATTTGTTAAAGAAAAAAACAACCCAGCCACTGAAAAGATTGCCAAAGCCGTATGTTAATACCTTGATAGGCCACTTTGATATCAACTTTTATCGTCTTGTAACTCCTGTATGTTATCGGGACAAACCTGATGTACCTTGCTGTTATCGGGTTTTGACTAAGATCGTGACGTTTAATTCCGTATCTGTTTTTATTGCCTTCAAAGATCTGAAAAAGTATTTTGATGTTTACTAATTGACATTCAAAACAGCGGCATAAGAATATGCTTATATACACATCCCTTACTCTTTAGGGTCATTTTAAAAAGTTCTAGTTTTTATTTTCTCGTTTTTTTCCTTAAAAATAAGAAAACAAATAAGCAAAAAAAATTAATTTTGATTCTAAAGCACCCTAGATCGATGAGAACAACTATTTCACGAACGARGAGTAATATCCGTCAAAAATGCCATTAAGCCTATATCTTCAAAAAAAGTGAAATAATCACTAAGAAAAACGACTAATAATCGCAGTCGAGACGTTTATTTGTTTGCTTTTTAAAAAAATCCGCTAATTGACATTTACCTTACTTTTCCCGGTTTGTTGTTTTTCATAAGTTGTCCACTTTGTAAGGTCATTTGTGTGATTAATGTAATACGTTYTCACCCATTCTTTATTTGCAGTGTTACCATATCCTTGTGTTGCTACAGCAGTAATAACACGTGGAGTGCCGAGATCAATCTGTAAGTAATCATCAGGATTATTGGTATATTTTGGTGCCCATCCATGTGAACCATACAGCTTGGCATTGTAAGGGGCGTATCGTACATCGCCTGGGATGTTTGGGTTTTGATAATATGATGAGGCTGTGTAACTGCTGTCGGGTATGTTAAGCTTGTTGCTTCCTACGAGAGATTGCTCTACACAACCTAAAGATACAAGAAGATTTTTTCTTTATAAAATTCAAATAACTGTTATAAATCTCGCGTTCGGATTGGTTGAGAGCGCGTGCTTTATGAGAGCACATGCATAGTACGCCCGCGCACTTTCAGTTGCGTCATTCCTATCCAAAATAACGGTTATTATAATTTGCACTTTATAAAAGAAATAAAAAACGTGCCTGTTGTGCTGTGTGGAGTTTTAAAGCACTTGGGTATATATTGGCAGAACACAAAGAGAAGTGTCGAGAAGCACTCCGCGACGCGTCATGCTTCTCCTACTCTTCTCTCGTGTTCTGGCAACCCCTGCATGCTTTATAATAATAATAATAATAATAATAATAATAATAATAATAATAATA